GTCATCAGTTGTGTCCACACAAAACTGAGCTCCATTGACGGTCATTGTATGGACAATAAAAAATGTGTTCCAAACATTTCTTGTATATGTTTCAAAAAAGTTAAGTCATACAGGTTTTGAATGACAAGAGGTTGAGTGAATAGTGACAGAATCTTCATTTTCAGGTAAACTATCCCTTTAATGTAATCACATTTAAAAGCAATAAGCTTTACTCTGATTTTCCCACAGTAAAGGAGGTACAACATGCTCTGTTTTGCTTTAGCATGCACTACCCTAGGGGCTAAAAGCTTTTGAGACCATGTAAACTAGTTCTCACTTTCCTGAAATGTCTCACCTGTCAGGATGACTGTCATCTAAAAAATGTAGAAAACTGTGAGTGATGTGTCTTAGGCTAGATCTGAGGACATACAGTATATACCACTAAAAGTTGATATGATTAACATTAGACAGAGAGGTAGGTAAGAGTGTTTTGGTGACACTTTATTAAAGCCTTTATGTATAATGCATTATAAAAGTAATTTTAATGCACTAATTAAGCCTTGTACAGTGCATTATAAGGTGCATTACAATCTCATGAATAATTGTAACCACAGTTAATACATAACACTTATCAATTCATTGTTACACAACGCATTTTTTATTTAGTTATAATTATTTATGACGAGATGTAATGTATTATATAAAACGCATATTATGAATAATTATAATGCATAATACCCTTCCCTAACCCTTTATAATGCATTATATACAAAGGCTTTAAGTAAAGTGTTACCTTTTAATGTTGATAAAAGAAGTCTCTTATACTCACCAACTCTGCATTTATTTAATAAAAAAAGAAAACAGTAAAAACAGTGGTATTGTGAAATATTAGTACAATTTTAAATAACTGTTTACTATATTAATATATTTTAAAATGTTTTTTTTTTCCCTTTAATGGACAGCTAAATTTTCAGCATCATTACTCCAGTCTTCAGTGTCACATGATCCTTCAGAAATCATTCTAATATGCTGATTTGGTGGTCATTATTATAGATTTTCACATAAAAAAAATAGATTTTTGGTCATTATTATTGGTAACACTTTACAATAAAGTTCATTAGTTAATATTAGTTAACTACTTTAGTTAATATGACCTAAGAATGAATAATACTTCTACAGTATTTATTATTCTTAGTTAATGTTAATTTCAACATTTACTACAGTAATACATTATTAAAATCAAAAGTTGTGCTTGTTAACTTTAGTTAGTGCACTGTGAATTAACATGACCCAACAATGAATGACTGTATTTTCATTAACTAAGATTAACAAAGATTAGTAAATACTCAAATAAATGTATTGTTCATTGTTTGTTCAGGTTAGTTAATACATTAACTAACATTAACTAATGTAACCTTATTGTAAACTGTTACCTTATTGTTAATATTGAAAACAGTTGCACAGCCTAATATTTTTGTGGAAACCATGATACTTTTTTTCGGGGTCTTTAATGAATAGAAAGTTCAAAGAAATATCATTTAGTTGAAATAGAAATCTTATAGAATATCATAAATGTATTAACTGTCCATTTTGAGCAATTTAATGCATCCTTGCTGAATAAAGATACAATTTGGTTTGCCCTCACACTTTTGTATGGTAGCCTATATGCAGCATTCAAATATCAATAGCAAAATTAACCAAAAAACATTAACACTCGTGGACGTATCCATTTCTTAGCTTTCTAGAATGAGAATATCACTCCTTCTACATTTGACTAGAATTAGCAAGTAGCAAATTATGACTCGTGACCTACTGGCCATTAAACAAAAACCTTGTCAAAATTTTCATTTCAATACATCCCAAAAAAAAAAAAAAAACAATTCTGTGTTTGTAGTCATACCATTTGGGTTTATGAATCATTTACCAAACCCTCATCTTACTAACAATTATTGAGTGAGTGATGTAAACTGTACAACACCGTTTCATTTCCTTCAGGTCTCTTTAAAGCCTTTCTCTTGAGGTTTCAATAAGCCGGGTCTGTTTCAGGCCCCTAGCTGAATTCATTTCCTGTGGACAAAGCCCCCTATAGCATTCATATTAGCCACATACGACCTTTTCTGGTTTGTTTTTATGCACAGGCGCTTCTCCTGCATTATGCTATTTGTAAGATAGTTCTCTAAAGTGAAGCAAAGCATGAGACAGACGGCTGCTAAAATGCACCAGAAAACTTTCTAACCTGCTTCGTTCTGTGTTACAGACTTCCTTCTTCAGCATGTAACAATAACACAGCATCAGCAGTCGGCGCGTAACAACAGTTTTGCATGTCTAATATGGGAAAATTACAGCTGATGGCTTAGAAAATTGTTCCTTGGATCTGAAACAACAGGCATTAAGCCAAACTAATCTAGATGGCATCTAGACCTGGGAAGGAAATGCAGTGACTGTTTCAAAAGCATCAATGGAAATGGTTCACTTTAATATAATCTAACTTCCCATTGTAAATAACAGTACTTTGCTAAGGAAACAGAGACACACCTTTTGTTTAGTTAGAGCGACATTTTCCACGAAAAGCAACTCGAGACCTGTTAACACAAAAACTCAGCTTACTTTTAGTGCTCCTGTGGCTCAGTGGTAGAGCATTGCGTTAGCAGCGCAAAAGGTTGTGGGTTCGATTCCCAGGGAACACACATACTGGTAAAAAATGTATAGCCTGAACGCACTGTAAGTCGCTTTGGATAAAAATTATAATTATTATTAAATTAAAATTATTATTAATTATTAAATTAATTAATTACTTTTCCAACCACTAATGTTGATTTCTCTTGTTAAAGAGATAGTTCACACAATTGGAAATTTTACTGAGTTTGAATAACACAACCACAAATGAGATTTCAGAGCTCTTCCAATGAATGACGGCTTAAATTTCAGTCTATCCCTATATTTGTAAATCTACGGTGGTGCGTAAATTATTTTTTTATTTTTGGATCTTTTTGGATGAACATTTCCTTTAAGAATGTGTTTACATGGTCTCTCCCTGTGGCAGGAATGCAGTAAAGCATGCGACAACACGGATTCACCCGTGTTATCTCTGCAAATACACATCAGTATCTCTCGTTTGCTCAAACACACTCTTTTACACACACACACACACACACACACACACACACATCAGCTGTGTTTACACCTGACCAATGTTATCTGAAGACACCCAGAAGACAGCACTCCTGCTTTTATGTTTGCGTAGAACAGAGCTGTCCTACTTTTTATATTCACATAAAACTGTGGAAAAGTCACGAACATGAGAGAGTGGAATGAACTTTTAAGGAGACTTGAGAGCCACTAGACTAAACTAGGAAATCCTGACAATGGTTAAGGGCACTAAAGCTTCAGATCCCCCCAAAAAAATAAAAAAATTTAATTTAAAAATGTACATTTTTGAAATAAGTCTTTGTCCACCAAGGCTGTTTATTTGTCAAAAAATACAGTAAAAATTGTAATATTGTCAAATATTAATACAATTTAAAATAACTGTTTTCTATTTTAATATATTTTAAAATGTTATTTATTCCTGTGATGACAAAGCTGAATTTTCAGCATCATTACTCCAGTCTTCAGTGTTCATTCAGAAATCATTCTAACATCCTGAGCTTCTGCTAACATTTCTTATTATTATCAATGTTGAAAACATTTTTGCTGTGTTTTTTTTTTTTTTTTGTGAAAACCATAATACATTTTTTTTCAGGATGCTTTGATGAATAGAAAGCTCAAAAACAACAGCATTTATTTTAAATAAAACAATCGTGTATAAACATTTTTACTGTCACTTTTGATAAATTTAATGCATCACTGCTGAATAAAAGTATTGACGCTAACAGTATTGAACAGTATTTACATATAATAACTAATGGTAACTGACAGGGAGCACCAACATTTAATGAGCCAAGTGATTAACTCATAACAATAAATAACTGATCCAAAATAATTAATGATCAAGTGCTTTAGTTGTCTCATTTAATTAACATAACTGACAGTTACAGTATATGTCAGTGTACCAATATGTTGGATCCATCTTCCAGCAACATTATGCACTGGTAAAAGTAAGGCTATTTTGATTCAATAATGTATTTTACAAACTTATTTTTACATTATGTAAGATAAACTGTTCTAGATGTTAAGTGGTCTGCAAGTTTTGTTTTACTGTTCAGTTGGTCCACCTTCAGAAAACGTTTGAGAATCACTAATCCAAAAAAAACTAAGCTTCTTTTAACAGCACAAAACATCAAATTAAATACATTTTCCAGAAAAAATGATGTCATCTGGGATGGTCAACAAAGTAACACAAGCATAAAGCCTATAACACTTCAGGTGAGAGCTTTGGGTGGCCCTAAATGAGTTCATATTTTCTTCTAGTCGTCTTGCCTGATTAGTAATGGATCAAGACTGCAATAAGAGAGATATCATCGTCTTTGAATAGCATGTCATTGTCATTCCTATAAACATCACAAAAGTTCAAGCAAATCAAAAGTATTTAATGGGGCTATAAACTCTACAGTTGGTCGCTTTCCAGACATAAGCAGGAGGGTGAAGCAGGTGACACGGACATGACCCACTAACATGATCATCAGTATTCAAAAAATGAAAGGGGAAAAATCATTGTAACGTCATCTGAATAGTTGCAAAACTGTTCCATCGAACCTAACAGCCCATTCATTACAGCGCAAAAGTTCCCTTCACTTTGCTTTTCCAAAATATGAATACTAATATACGGTTTCATTCACTCGCGCATGCAAAACAACTCCATTAGTCTCTGTAAATAAACTTTAGAAATGAACGCGAGCGGGCTGAAACGCCATATTACGCATTAAACTAGCAAGAGCACTAAAATGTCTGTATTTCAGTGAGCATCTGCGCGTAAAACAACTTCAATCCAGCTGCAAATACTGGAGAGCGCGCAAGATTAAAAACAAACACTAGAGAAAGCAACTGTAGCAGCCCTAAAATAGCAGAAAAACACATCTTACCATCTCAACGGGACGTGATGATGATCGCACGCTGATAGTTAGAAAGTATCTAGTGCACTGAATCATCTGCCAAAACTATTCCAAAACTTCAAGTGCAATGCTTCCGCTTCCGGAAAAAAAGAGCGAAAAGTAACAACATGGGCGAGACGGAGCCCAAAAATATGCCTGGCCTGAAACCTGCTGGAAGAAGATATGCAGTGCACCAGTCCTACCTGATCCAAAACTGAGCTGTCACACTTGACATTTGCAATGTGAAGTCTGCGTAGTACACTGGGGAAAAATGGCGTACAAAAACTATTTTCACTCAGAAAGTTCTAGTAAATTTCCCAATGTATTACAAAAAACAGCAGACAATACATTCAGTTGAACGTGAAATTGAAAGAATGTGAAGTAGAAAGACTGAAACAGTATTTTCTGGTAAAACATACTCTAATAATCTTTGTTTTATTTACATTATTTAGGCTACTATTTAAACTATTATTTAGACTACACTACAGATATGCAGACAGAGAGATAGATAAAGTGTCTTCTTTGTTAATGTATACATTACACTATGCTCTGTTTAGTTTCATTTTTTCCTGAGCAAAAATAATGACTATCATACATTCGTACCATGATATACAGAAGTTTTACTCATTTGTCAAAATGTTTTTAATATATTTTAAAATGTAATAAATTTAGTATTCTCTCTTTTTCTTTTATATATTTTAATAAGTACAGGTCAGAATAAGTATGTTGTTTCATTATTGCATAAACACATGTTATGCTGAATGACAATGGAACATTATTTGCATTATCTGCCTTACCTGCATATAATATGCTTTCTTTGTAGTCACTTTCACATTCCTATAATATGCATGTCTATCTATCTATCTATCTATCTATCTATCTATCATCTATCTATCTATCTATCTATCTATCTATCTATCTGTCATCTATCTATCTATCGTTCTATCGTTCTATCTATCTATCTATCTATCTATCTATCTATCATCTATCTATCTATCTATCTATCAATCATCTATCTATACACACACACACACACACACACACACACACACACACTGCAAGGTTAATATTAGACTCTCCTAGTAAATACATTTATGAACATTGATGCTTTGAAGTTACGAATGTAAGTAGCCTACAACATTCATTTTTAGATTAGATCAGATTATTTTTGAAGTCTGGCTGTTTGGTTATTGATTTTTTTTTAACAAGATACCTTTAAGGATAAATAAAGCAAAGATATCTTTATGAGAAAGTGCATGAAACCTTTAATGTCATACAGCCAAAAACAGATGTCTGTGAATCAACTGATCAGCTAAAAAGGAAGTTACATCACTGAGCAAGGCGGGGAAGTGGTTAACCAACCAATCCATCTGCGATGAGGCACCTGTGATAGACATCTAACCAAGAGACTATAAAACCGCAATTAATCTTATTCACTACCCTGTATGATGGTCAATGTATAAAATCTACTGCTGAAAAGGAGGCAGCTGATTTACAACACCCCTCGAGCTGTTATAAGAGCTATTCGTCAACAGAATAACACACTATGCTGTGTTTCCAGAAGGGACGTCATATATTAAAACATCTGTAATGTAGTTATTTCAGTCTATGTTAAGTGCTCCAGAATAATTCACAAGAAAGGATTAATAAAAAATAAGACTTTGCGTATGTGATGCCTGTTTGTTTCAGCAAAATTGAAGTAATTGCTAATTCAGTTCAATTGTATTGCCAACATTTCTCAGTGGAATCTTAATTACTGTTCTTTTGCCATAAAACAGATGGAAAGAGGTATTGTGTTCGTGTTATTACCCAGTGGATGGTTACAACTTGATTTATGGACCACTGTCAGTATTTCTGAAGCAATATATCTCAGAGGTGCACAACAATGGTTATCCCTTTGATATTATGAATCCTAAATGTTTCCAAATATGATATATGAGTAGAACATATTATCTGCCCCCTTAAAAAACATAATATACTTTAGTATTTACAGTGCTGGATAGATTTAATCTTAAATGTAAGGTAAAACACTACTCATGGAAAAGGCAACATATGCTATAAAACTGCAGAACTGCATGAGTTTGCTAGAATTTTTGGACTGCCCAAATAATGCTGAAGAAGACCTTTAACATTTTTGCTTGTGAGGTAAAAACACAGTAAGTATTTAACAGTAAAACTGGTGTTCACGATTAATAATAATAATAATAATTCATTACATTTATATAGCGCTTTTCTAGGCACTCAAAGCACTTTACATTGTCAGGGGGTATCTCCTCATCCACCACCAGTGTGCAGCATCCACCTGGATGATGCGACGGCAGCCATAGTGCGCCAGAACGCCCACCACACACCAGCTTATTGGTGGAGAAGAGACAGAGTGATGAAGCCAATCAGCAGATATGGGGATGATTAGGAGGCCATGATGGTCAGAGGCCAATGGGCAAATTTGGCCAGGATGCCGAGGTCACACCTCTACTCTTTTCGAAAGACATCCTGGGATTTTTAATGACCACAGAGAGTCAGGACCTCGGTTTAACGTCTCATCCGAAGGACGGAGCTTGTTGACAGTATAGAGTCCCTATCACTACACTGGGGTGCTAGGACCCAAACAGACCACAGGGTGAGCACCCCCTGCTGGCCTCACTAACACCTCTTCCAGCAGCAACCTAGTTTTCCCAGGAGGTCTCCCATCCAGGTACTGACCAGGCTCAGCCCTGCTTAGCTTCAGTGGGTAACCAGTCTTGGGCTACAGGGTGATATGGCTGCCGGCTGATTATTGAGGTAGGGGAGGCCATGGCTGGTTGTCAGACCTATATTTTAATAACTTTAGTAAGGTTTTCAGTCAATAGCCAAATTTTGCAAATGTTTGTTTGCTCTAGCAGTGGACTCTTATGACTCTTATTATTTAAAGATAATACAAACACCTCTAAATCTCTTTTAAATTACAATCAATTAATTTCAATATCAGCATTTTTAACAGCTGTTGCATGAATTGAAGCTTGAACTGTGTTTTCAGGACAAATGTAATATAATATATACAGTATTGGCCAAAATTATTAGAACACTAGTATTTTGACCAGCTGAAAATTGTTATTTCTAGTCTAATATCTAATATCAGTTTACATTTCCAAACATTCATTTTGCCATTAATTGTAATAATCCAGTGAGATTTTTGTTTACACAAGGAGTCTGACAACAACCAGTGCTCCACAGAGAGATCTGATCTCAACATCATCCAGTCCGTCTGGAATGACATGAAGAAACAGAACAAACTGAGACAGACTCAATCCAGAAGAACTGTGGCAACGTCTCCAAGATGCTTCAAGAAACCTACCTGCAAAGCTACCTGAAAAACTATGTGCAAGTGCACAGAGGGCAAAAGCTGCTTTAAACGCAAAGGATGGTCACACCAAATGTTGATTTAATTTAGTTAATAGAAGTTAATTGATAAAGAAAATCTATTTATGACATTATTTTGACAGCATCCTCGTTTTACATAATTTTTACACAAGTGCCTAAAACTACATTTGCAGGTAGGTTTCTTGAAGAATTTTGGAGACATATATATATATATATTTCATGAATTATTGTATATTCAGACATTTTGAAAAAGAGAATACATTGTAGGAAATTATTTTTCGAACTTGTAAATAAAAATAAAAATTTTAAAAAATCATTAGATTTACGTTTTACAATAAAATACTATTTCAGTCTAGTTACATTTTTCACATTTACTTCAGTGTTACTTGCCTTATTTTCAGTGTAGTTTCTCCATTTAATCAGAAGATGGCGCTCGTGACCATGATTAGACTCTTCAGAATCGTTGCTTGACTACCGATCTCATACACAGGGTTCCTAAGTGAATATATAACAGCATATTAAACGTAAAATGCGTTGACTTATAAACATTTAAAATAATATAATATATTTACAGCACATTTAAATATAATAAGGTGAAAGCCAACGGAGCTGTTTATTTCTTTTTATATAGGCTAATTTAATGCACTGGGAATTAAGACCATAAATGATTGCTAAATAATACATAGAATCAAAATTATTTCTAATTCGTAGAACTCTGGTGCAAAAACATTTGTTTTTGTTAAGCATGAATACAAATGTTTTATATATTATACACAATCACTTTAATACAACATTAATAAACATTATTTCATTAGAATGCACAGATCATTATTTTAAAGATGAATAGCCTATATTTATATGTTATCATAGGCTACATGATATGGCTAGGCCTACTGATGTTTTTTATTAGGCTATATAACATTAACGACTTGTTAAAGGAAATGATTTTACCCGTGTTATCCGTTTATTTTCTTGTTAAATGTGTGTGAATTGAAATGCTGTTGAAGCGAGCAGCAGACTGCCTCGAGAGGCCGCACTGGCCCCATATGCAGCAGGTGGCCTTACCTGCAACCCAAACGAGCCCTTGAACTACAGTAGAGAAACACTGAATCCACAGAGCGGCACAGATGGGTCACCAGCCAAAACGAGTGCCTCTGCATGATTTATTGCGCCAAAATACCACAGAACTAATCAGCGGACAAACTAATTAATACAAATCTGCATTTTTGCATAAGTAATTAGAGCAACTCGCAATGAAATAAGAGATAGGGATTTATTCAGTCGGGAGAGCCATTCAGGCAGAGAGAGATTTGGTTTGGATCCACTGTTCCAGTCTGAGGAAAGGTCTGTTGGTTCAAGCAGAGGGCGTTAAAGGTCAAATAATTAATAAATATCATTGGCGTGACCTCGTATTGTGTTGTGTCGAGAGCGGAAGCTTACAGGAAGCGTTAAAGAACGCTTACGGGAAGCGACCTACTTCTGTTCCTTTTATACCGGTACTTAAAATGTTTTTTTAATAGGCTATAGCATAAGTAGCCTGTTTTTTCAAACACACAAAAGTTAGAATACAAGTTAGTTTTCGCGAACAAAACTCACCTTTGTCGGTAACCGTAGCACGGTTCTCGGTTTGTATCAGACGCTACATAAATGAATAAATAAATAAATAAATAAATAAATAGTTGTTGTAGATTAGCACATCACAGATTCGACCAAAAAAACAAACAA